TTTTATCGAAAAAAATCCGACCATATCCACACTAGGTTTGCATTTCGAATCGGTGTCCGATTTTCAACATTTGGAGAGACTCACGAAAATATGTCCATCGTTAACGAAGATTAATTGGTTGAATAATGTGAATTTTTCTGAAATAGACCAAGTTGAATATATTATGACTATGTTCAACTCATTGAATTCATTCAACTGTACAATTACTGCTGATAGAACTCATTCCAATAGTTTTGTATTTCAGTCAGTTGAAGACTGTTTTAATAATAGTTCCTGGTCGACTTCCATTAAGTTCTCAGAGTGGGAACTGGGTAACAAAAAATCCTACTACGCAGAAATGGAGAGGCAAATTTGAGGTGCTAACCGAATGATCAATCATCCTAAGTATTGGCTGAAAATCGATAAATTATGAGTTTTTATTATTTTGCATTGTATTTTTTATGTAACATGTGAAAATAAACGAATTTTCAACAAAAAAATGTTTTTTCCCAATATTTTCAGCGATGTTTGGTCACTAATACTTTTGGTGCACTGAACAAGCGCGTTTCTATTGATGTGGAAAGGTGTTGTTGACTTTTTATCGGCTGTTCACTATGCGTTACGCAACACTCAAAAGAATGATAAAAGATAAATAAAAGTTTGCGTCGAAGTCATTGACAGACAGACGAAAGAGTAGCGAGAAAGATTCGATCGTTAAAAATCAATTTACATACAACAATGGCCAATTAGTATCTATGCCGTTTGAATGAATTGGCCAAATTGATGAGGCCACTTAATCAAATCAATGCTTTTCATGGAATTCTCACTTAGTTTAACCCGCTTCGTGCAGAAAACCAAATGGACGGTAACAATAGATTTGTGCCAAAAAGTGACTGCACTCGTTGATCCGATACTGAAATTCTGTTTGACTTTTTAATTGAAATTAGCGTTTTTTTTATGTGTGCGCATAATTGCGGCCAAGGCAAACCGATTCTAATTGATCGCGAGAACAATCAACAAAAAATCAACCACAATGCAGTGAATGTGAATGCAAAAAAGGAAAATTAAGAGTGCTCAATGCTCATTCAATTTTTTGTTCATTCATCATTTCATCATAGCGTAGCTCACACTGTAAATCAAGTTATGGATGGCAATAATTAAAGATAATAACGAACGAAATCGCCGCCGGTGCGTGATGCTGATATTCTCGAGAATGAAAAGTTTAAAAAAATGGGTTTAAAGGTGACAACCTTCTTTGGAGTGTTTGCTCATTTTTATGCCGAGGCAACCACATTTACTTCTTTGAATCAACAGCAACACTCCTAATGTTTGTTCACAGCATTTGGATATGTGCAAACTTGTGATAGCAAAGCTACGCTGTAGAAGTGCTTCGTGAATGTACATTTTGTTGAAGATTGCAAGTAGATTTTTTCTACCTATTTTTCAGCGAAAGAAAGATCTATTTGAACTTTTTGGCTTGTGAATATTTCACAAAGCTTTGATTAATCAAAACACGCAATCTAATTCCATGTTATTAACACCTTTGGCGTAATTCTGTTCCGTAAAAGGCAGTCCGATTGTCGAATAATAAAAATTATGCATTCATAATTCATGCTGATTGTCGTGTGCTTATAAAGCAAACGAAAAACATAATCATTGTGTTTCATTATGGGTTTTGATTCTGGCGCTATATTGATCGTCAAATGAGTGTTGTATGCGTTACGTATTCATGTTTTTTGTAGTTGCGGTCTACCACTTGTTCGCTTATTTAAGTCTATCGCATGTTTAACACATGCGTGTACACATGTTATTTATAGACGCATACGTATGTAATATTCGCAGTCACAGTATCTGTCATTCGTCTTCGTTAGCACAAACAAAGGTGCAACTTTGGCATTGAACCATGAAAATGTTTAACCAAAAGACAATCTATTCTATGAATCACAACAACCGACAAAGACATGCCATGATTGATATGGTTTCCCATTTGGTTTTGAAATACCAATTGCGCACATCGAAAAGTTTATTGACTCATCTAAAATGTGTTTCCGCAATGGCTTCTGATGAAGAAGGTCTTATTAGCTATAACATGCGAGTTATTACATTTGATCACCGCTATTACATCTTACTGCCAGCGATAACTTCTTAAATTGGCTATAATGATGCTTCGTAAAGGTATTTTTAGATTGAATCGAGCCATTCAGAAACTGAATTGTGATATTTAACGGTATTGCCTTGATAAGCCATCCGTTATTTAATTGAGACAAACGCAATTCCATCAATTTCAACAATATGTGCTTTGGCAATGAATTGGTGTTAAAATTGGTACTACGGAAACAGTTGAATTTCCACGTGCAAAACGCTTTTGTTCCATAAAACACCATTCTCATGTGGTCAAACTAAGATTCTGCACTATTTACGGTATTATCACCGAATCGGAATGGTGGTTCTGCATGTTGCCCCTGAAATATTGACATTTAGTGGTAAACATTGGCAGTCCATAATAGATAACATCTCTGATGTGTGTTGCACAAGAATGGTCTGAAAGAGAAGACGAAGACGGAAAAAAAAGAGTCATGAATAAAATATTATTCAAATCTGGTGCGTGTGAATCGTAGCGAGAATATCGCCGTGAATATCAAGTATGTGCAAGTGGTGTGCGCGTACGTGTAGTGGGGCAAACGATGTGATAATCATATGTGCTGAGATATAGCGCAGCGCAGCGTCTTTTTTTTTACAGGTTTACTATCGTTTTTATTGCGCATGGCAAAGAAGCAGAAGAAATACTACAACGGCGATCGGTGTAAGCAAGCATATCGGTTCGATTTGCCGTAATAATAAGAGCTCAACACTGATGATTGTGTATGAGTGTTTGCTTCGGTTGAATCACAATACACTTGCGCGCGCCCATTCACTTATATATCGATGTATAACGAAACATTTAGCAAATCGTTTTATACTCACATGAATATGAATATGCATACAGTGCGGTTGCAAAAGAAACCAATGTCCAAGACCAAGCAATGTTCAATCGACGAGCCCCGATTCGCAATCACATTTTTCTGTCTCTCTTCAGTATGAATCGTACGTTTGTCGAGAAGAGTCATACAAAATGCACACAGCGACTAGATAGTCGAAAGACACAGATCTTTAGGCAGTTTCGTTCGTTCATCACATTTGATGTGTAAGCACAGCAGCAGAGATCACAACACGACGGTTACCATTATATTGTATCTTATCCGTTCTCGTGTCAACCTATTCAGAAGTTTTCTATTTTAATGTGAAATACAAAAGAGACTTACACAATATTGTGCAACTTTGTATGTGTGCTCTTTTTTTCTTCGTTCATTCGTTTGTTTCTTCATTCGAATATATCGTGGTATGTGATTGTTTTAAATCAAATAACCATTTTTGTGTGTGAGCATGAGGTTTTTAAGCTAATGCATTTAATTTTTATGCATTGGATTTTTGTTCCGAAATAAGAGTATTACGTGATTGTTTTGATGATGCAGTTGCTGGTTGAAAAATGAAATGAAATGAACTGACATGGTTTGAATGGGTCAAGTCATTATTCGAAAGAAAGAAAAAAATATTCGCAGTGAATTTCATGAATAAGACACGGAATTCATGAATGGAACAATTCGAGGTATTGGGTACTGGCTGATGAAATCGGCACATTCGTGTGCAATCGGCATTTTCAGTGTTTATTCGGGCATTTTTGTGAATCAAGATTATCGAAACGAAACCGACGATTGTAGTTCGATATAATGTATTATTTCGGTTAATTGTTATCGACCAAACAATTCAAACTATTTTGGTCAATATTACACGTTGAAAGTGAATAAGACTCGATACAATGAACAAATTGTTGATTCAATAACAAACTAAACTTAATTCGATAGAAAAAAAGTTTCATTCAATAAAAAAACAATAAAATTTGTCTAAACAAAAAACCGAAATTGGTTCAATGAAGGGCAAGAAAAAGATTTGATGAGACAAATTAGCACGCGATGTTTTTTTGCTTGTCTTTGATCGTATAAGATATGCATTTAGATGCTAAACAAAAAAAATAGGTCAACCATTTTTTACGAAAAGTGTCACTGAAATCAAACACATTAGTCTCCATTTAAATGATTCAGTGATGTGTTCTTGTTTGTAATTTTGTCTGGCTTAACCACAAAAACGTCATAAAAATTCACATATGATAATTATGAGATAAACTAAATGTTGGTTATTTAATCTGTTTGTGTGTAAGTGTCTATGCTCAATGTGGTCAAGGCAGTTGTTTGTTATAAATATTATTTTTATCGGATTCTGCGTTCGTTGTAAGATCCATTGGCGATATAGTCAAAACAACATTTTGTTATTGAGTTTTTACTTTGGTCAACTAAAGTTCCGTTACAAAAAAAGGAATCTCATTTGTATGTGATGTTAAAACATTTCGTCATAAGCGGTTACAGTATCACTAAAATTGGTTGTGATGGAATGTTAAGTGCAATAAATCATGAATTTAATTGTCATAAATGCCGTTCGATTATGATGTCGCAATTGTATCCCTGTAATATTGATGGGATTATGTATTTTTAAATATTGAATATTCAAGACCCTTGAATTAAGACTCTTGAATTAAGACGAAAGAAGAAGAAAAAAAATGGATTGTAAATCATGTCATTTTTTATGAAATTTTACAGAATTTATTGCTTCCGAATCAACGGTGCCATATAAAACCATAATGATAAAGCAAGTGATGATAGCGATTGTTTTGACATCGCTTCTGGTCGGGAATTCGTGGGATGCTGAAGCACGTGAACGAGCCACAGTCGTGCGACAAGAGAAAATTGTCGACTTCGCCGCACACAGCGAACCAAAAGTGCGCGAAAAACGATTCATCAATCCGTTTACCAGTTTGTTCAATGTTTGGAATGCTATAACACATATATACTCGCTGTATGCCGAAGTAAGTCATTTCATTTCGTATTTGTGCGTAATTATCTCACGATTTTAATGATGTTGTTGGTATTGCAGCAAAAAAACGAAACATATTTTGCATTGGAGCAAACGTATGATATCGTTGCTGACGGCTTCAACGACACTTATATGGCCACTAAACGGCCTACGGTAAGTTGTGATCACACACACATACACACATTTGATTCGATTCGTTCCATGGTGACCTACGAAAATTAAACGCAAAACGTGAACCAAATTTAAAGTTCAAATCTTGTTTATGCATAAAAGACAGCTCGCCGTTGGCGAGTGGCCGATGTAAATAAAATTACAAAACAAATTAATCCCGAATCAATCGAGATTTGTTTACAATAACAAATGTCATGAGATATTGGTATCTAGTTCATTATAAGATTTCAATAAGAATACGGCCTGCATTCAATGCCAAATCCATTGATTCCAAAGATGCGAACTGCGCCGATTGAGACATCCGAAATCCAAAAAATTCAATATTTACACAGATATTTGCGACGACTTTTTTATACAGAGATTTGCGACGAATATCAAGGTTGCCGCTGACCAATCGCTAATCGTTGTTGTTTCTCTGTTTTTTTTGGAGTAAATAAAGAAACGTCCACTCTTGGCTCTTTTATTTTGGATAAACTCGATTCGATCAATCATTTTTGACCTTTCTATCGCCATCACATTCCCTTTTGGTGTTATTAGTAAAATGTGACCATGGCGTGTGTTGAAATACTTTCTAAAATTCTTTCAAGTTGAGCATTAATTTGGTCCATTATTCACAGACGACGACAACAGGATCACCAGACTCAGAACCAACCACTACCACACAACGATACCGCATCACAAGAAAGGAGTTTGGCTACATTTTGGGCCGAAATTTACGAGGACTTAAGAAACTGTACAACATTGAAATAAATGATGCATTGAATGTAGGTTTTCTTCTCTTTACCTGGATCAAATACATATGAAATTTTTTTTCATCTCTTTTTTTAGCAATCGAAATATAACATTGACGAGTACAAGCGGGAAAAAGCCTGGGCGCTTTATCCGTACACCATTAAGAAATTCCCACCGCCGAAAAATAACACTTCCAATTAACTCTTGCCCCGCTTCTTCGAATATGGTGTACAAATCATTTCTAGAGCTATGAATGACTGCATACTATTGTGTATTGTTGCCCACTCGTTATAATTCAAATGGAATTATTTTTATTTTTACTTTTACCAACCACCTAGTTTAAACCGCATCGAACAGATTTGCTTTTACTGTGATATAGTTTGTAGCATTCAATATTAGTAAAGTCGATGGAAATATGTCAAATTTTCTTAATTGAATAAAATAAAAATAAAATAAAATTTATCAGATGCGAAAATAGTGTTCATCTTTAAGGTTTAGGATGATTTTTTTTATATTAACGTTCCCAATCACCACAAAGCTTGTTTTTTTTTCTTTGTGGTTTTTACATCACTCCGCACCGAACTGATAAGGATAAATAATCTTGAAGGGCTTCTTACATATTACATATGCACTGATTTTAGGCTTTATAGGCAAATACTGTAGACCACTGTGAACTATTTGAGTCATTTTGTCGGAGCAATCGTCGGGTTTTATCTTTAAATTATACTTTGGACTTATGCTTCAACGCTTCGACAAAAATCATAGAATTGGTTCTCCTTATCAAATTATTACGGTGAACAAACCGTAATTAAAGGGCATAAGCTAAAACCTCCAAATGAGTCGGATCAAACCAACATATCATGATAAGTGAACCGCAAAATGATCAACTGCGGCTCGTATTTGATAATACGAAATTGAAGTTCAGAATAAAACTTATGTGTTTTTTCGCATTTGAATTCAGTTTTGAACATACTTTGAAGAACGTACACATACAATTGCGAAATATTAATATTGACAATAGTTTGATTGACAAATCCATATATGACATAACGTCATTTTAGTGTGAATCCTCGCTACGAAATGCAAAACAATATTTGATTAGGTTATTAACCTGTGTCATCAATCTTACATTTTATTCGTTTCAAGCAAAGTTTTTATTCACAAAGTTGAACATAAAAATGAGCACATCCAATGAGTTGATAGAAACGCCATCAGCTATTGAAATCGATTCGAGTGCTATTGAGCTAAAACCAGGTATAAATCGTTATTATGATTTTGAAATGTGTAGAATGTGCAAGAAAAGAATTGCAGTTAAAAAAGTCGATATGATTCGCGGGAAACTTATTTCAGTTAAGGCAACATCGATGGAAGATGTGGAGGAGAAATCGATAGGTTTGGACACAGTCGATCAAGGATGTGTTGGATGTAGCACGAAAGATTTGAGGCAAATCAAAGAGGGTGTCTCCTTATCGATATCATCAGATGATGAAACTGAAAATGCGATTCCACTGAAAAAATCGAATAGCACATCGTACAGAGGCAATAAATTCATATTAACCTAGATTTACTGTGAAGAAAAAAAAACAATCTTTTTCATTTGAAAATGATATAGGAATGATGGATATAGCGCTATTGACCGCAAATGCGAATCAACTGAGGTTTTTGATAACATACAATTCTGAGGAAAAGACTTTTTTCATCAGTGCCACATTAATTATCCTATCTCTAATCGTTCAAGTGCTCGTTGGAATTGGATTGATATACAAGGTTTGTGTTTCAATGATTTTTTGAATAATTTTCGTGAACCATCAGAAATAAATAAATTATTATGCGACTCATCCCAGCGTCATGTGAAGAAGAAAGGCGATAAAAGCAAAGCGGATAAAGTTGGCAGTTTGGTAACATGTGGAATATTTTGCCTAGCCGTTTTGAATGTGTTAGTTGTTTCCTTTACGACAACTAGTATAAAATCCGCTTAATTTCACCGTCAATGTCACCTGGATTAAGTATTTAATTGAATAATAGAAACATTTTATTGTCCAATGAATAAAAACATTTAAATTATTTCATTTAACAAGTTACAGTGTTTATTTTCTTGAGTTCACACCTCACCAAGATCGGGAGAGTCAAACACCTTCGATTAATTTAGCTTACACATAGAATGGGCAACGATGAGTGTTTGGTCTATAGCTGTGCATTTTTGTTTTTGAATGTGTCGCATTTCAGTGCGATAAATTTCATTTGATGTCAAAAGGAGAGCCTGAAGGTAATGTCAATGGTGCGCCCGTAATTCTAGCATTTTTTTCTAATTTTTGTTTCTATTAAATAAAGATGAACATGAAATCTAGACACGCTTTTACAATGACAATGAACATGTTTTTCTCACAACTTCGAGTTTGGATTCATCTAACTAAGAGTATTATTTTTCAACTAAAATTATGACAGTTCTAATATACGCCGAGGAGAATCGCATCAAGGCAAAAGAAATTTTTGATTGATTTTTATGCCGTAATTTTGATTGATTCATTCAACAATGCATTCAACTTTGTTTAATCGATTCAAAAGAAATTGTACTTAACTCACGTAAAATCTATGTTCTCTTGCTGGAAATTTTGGTATTATGACCAAAAAAATTTATCCTTAGGATAAATTTATCCCGAGGAACATAAATAGACTGTAAGCGAAATTTAAAATAACGAGTGGCGGTCAAAACGCCACCAACGGACAGCATACTCTAATGTAATAGAAACACAGAAGCATGCTGTCCGTCCAGGGCGTTATGACCGCCACCCAGAATAACATAAAACAGTTACCGAAATTATCACATAAAATTTGACCATTAATCGGATTAGAATAAATTGGAAAATAAATATTGGCTTTTAATAGAAAAAAAAAATGAAATTTAAAAACAACGAAAAAATGACACTCGAACCTAATTTAGTTCCTTATCGAATTTAATTAATCTTTGGCAAATGATTGCTTTGAATGACGTTGAAACGTGCTTAAAAAGTGTATCAAAATCAAGTTGAACATCGTTATCATTTTGATCCGTTTGGCTTGTTTGCTCGCCCGTTGAGTCTTCTTCGTCACCGGTGTTTAAGCTATCACTGTAATTGGTTGCACCAGCAACGTCATAGTTTCGTTGACTCGCATCTGGAACACAGTCTCCAAATAAATGATTGTATTTTTGTTGAAGTTGTCGCTCCAGTTTTGTGTTGTTATTATTAAAGAAGAGAACGTATGCCAAGCCGAATAGGTAGTGATCGATATTGTTCAAAAAGTACTCTTCAAGCGGTTGCAACGACAGCGAATTCTCGATGAAATACATAAAAATGCCATGAATCAGGTATTTTAAGTCTGTTCGATGAACGGGCACAACGTTTGCATCCTTCGTAAAATATTCGAACAATTTTATCACGTAACTCGTTAGCATCATGTTATCCAAATCAACATCGTCTTGACTCTGATGCATTGCAATAGTGTCTTTTGCCGCTGCCAAGCATAATGCAAATGACTCCTTTACGTAGTAATTCAGCATAAGTATGCGCACTTTGAACTCGTTCAGTGTTGTAAAACCGAGAATTTTATGTGCATCATAGATTCCGTGCAGGATAAAGAGACAATAGTGAATGAATTCGCTGGTCACTTCTAGATCACTAGATGACAACGGTGATTTTGTATTTGATGAGAGTGAATGTTTCATGGATGTGAACTGGTTAGCCGATGGAATTGCTAGGTTGTCGCCATCCGATGATAGACTGTTGCAGTCAAAGTTTTCACTCGATGGACTTGTGTCGGCAAAACCAGGTGTGCGAAATATTTCACGTGATATGAACTCTGGCCGAAACTGTGGCATACTCTTCAAATAACGCACAGGGTCATAATTCATACGAATCTTCGGGCGAGGCAATGGGATCTCCAGTGGCTGTTCAATGCATTGACTAGTATCGGGAAGACGAACTATACGCTTTGATACACGCAACCGTACCAATTTCCCGGCATAACCATTTCGATCCGGATGATTTATCTCGCGACCACACTGAAAAAAAAACACAAATTGACATTCATTCGTTATGAATTTGTGGAAAAAGTAACTTTCCTACTGTATCAAATGCCCTTTGAGAGCTCCTTGATAAAAATGCTTTTTATACAAAGATGAATGCATACCTGTCCGACATTATTGTTGCCAAAAGCCTTTACTGTTAAATTATCCGTCAAAATCAGCGTGAAATCAGCCCCACAATCAATATAGATCACATTGTCGTTAAGCTCCAATAGGGTTGGCTTTGTTAAATCGCAACGCGTATTCTCGCGTCCAAGTTGTTTTTCCAGATTCCGACCCCAAGTATACAGTTGCGATGTGTTTGTTAGCAAAACATTGTGATATAGTCCACTTGAAATCTGTTTTCAAAAGGTTTTCAATGCTTAGAATGTTTCTTCAAACCTAAAATTCGACTTGAAAAAAGCAAAATGTCGACAAAAATCATACCTGAAGCATTTCACCGATCACTTCACTTGTGTCAACTTGTTGTGGCAGAAAATGTTCGGTGTACTCATCATCCAAATAAAATTCACTGTTAATTTTGGACGCTGCATCAGGTTCGGTGCTCTTTTCAGACGAATGTTTCTCCGACCGTAAAAAGTTTCTTATTCTGTCTTGTAAATTACTTGGCGTCAATTTGCTAGCCATCGATTTTGGCACTTCGTTCGTATCATTTTGTTCAAACGACTCAACATTGTTTGTTTTGTTAGAATCAACGTCAATCGTCTCTTGATTCGTTGACTCCTCACTTTGTATTTGTTCTTTTGCATCAGTTTCTTCACTTGATAGACCATTAGTTGCTTTTGATTTATCTGCAATGTCATTCGTCAGAGCAGTTTTTGTATCCTCAAACTTTTGAGTCATTCGTGCTCGCTTTCGTGATTGATTCAGTAAACGAATCAACTGTGGTGAAGCGCCCCATGTGTAAAGTTTATTGCTTTGTGTAATAACGAACTAAAAATGAGTAAGAATGAGAGGAAAATTATTACGTAGATGTAAAAATTTAAGAAAAAAATGGTTAAAATTCGGCAAAATTACTTACATTAGCAAAAAATTTGGTGTGAATTTGTGTGATTGTCTCATTGGAAATATCAATTTTGATCGGTATTGAGCTTTTTAGGTATTTTTGTTGCGAATTTTCATTTTGATACTGGCCAGTTCCCAATTGGCCAAATAAATTACATCCAAAGACATACACAACTGTGTCATTTGTATTCAATTTGTCGCCGCATAGAACTAGAGTGTGCGCATGACCCAGAGCAATTTGTTTCACTTTTTTTCTACTGAAGAATCGCACGATTTTCGGTCGATCCAAAGTGAAAACATCACCGTGGCCGAGTTGACCATAGATTCCCCAGCCAAAAGTGTATAATTCACCGTCCGCATACACGGCGTTATGATATTGACCAGCTTCAATTAGTGTAACATTCTTCCCATCAAACTCTTTTATAAGCATCGGCTGCAGTGCCTGAACATGATGCTTTCCGATACCAAGCTGTTGCTGCATATTTGATCCCATCGCGTATAACTGGAAATAGAAGATTATTTTAATCATTTTTTTTCATTTATAACTTGAAACTAAGAACATCTTTTGATTCGAATGTCCACTTACGCCGTTGTTTGTTAGGATCAAAGTATGACCCTTGCCACATTTCACTGCGTGGACTTCTAAGCCCATATTTGAAATGAACTCCAAGCATCTGAGCGATGTTTCCGATATTGAATCGGCTACGGAATTTGGTGCAGCCAGATTTAAGGCACAATTCACTCCATTCGATCCCCATAAATAACAAGAGCCATCAATGATGGCCGCGCAATGTGCAAATCCAGCCGAAATATTTAATAAACTGTTATCAATTTTTATAGCAAACTAATGGAAGAGAGAAATGTACAGAAATTAGCATGGTTCCATGGATAAAACGGTGGAACAGAAATAAAATAAGAATATTTCGAAAGGAAATTCTCACCTGATTCTGTTCAAGTCTAACATTAATAACATTCAGTCCATTGGTTGTTTCATCTTTAGTGCAATTCAGTGTATACAATTTTATTATAACAATCAAAAACGTTTCGATTAAATGCTTACAAAACTCGACCAGCTGCGGGACAAAGAAAAAACTATCGTTTAAAAGAGAAGCCTTAAGACACTATTTCCAAGGTCATCTGTTTTTATATGGAGAAAATCGTCCATGATCGTATATTTGCTATTTCTAAGGCAACGAATGGACGATTTCAAAAACATCGTACACGATTGCAATCGTGCGCCTTGGAAATAGTGCCCTTAAACGGTTTTATGAAAATACTCAGAAATTGAACGCGCATGGGCTCACCTTATTCAAATCAGTTGAATCACTTTCAATGTAATTTGATGAAAGCTGTGAGACAATCGGTCGGAAGACTGGAGTAAACGGATCCAATTGATGTCTGAGACGTTGTAAAACCTGCTGGTTGATTTTGTTGCATTTCGATTGAATGCAATCAAAGTAATCCATTGCGATTAATTGCAAATAAATAATGCATTCCATGAATATTGGATCCGACAACTGATACAGAATGTCATTTATCTCGCTGTACCAACCTGAAAGTGGATAAATCGGCCATGATAATAATTTTGACATTATTTCAATCATTGAAGATAAGATAAGATTAAAAATTACCGAATTCCTGGTTCGTCACGCCGACTAAAGCACAAAATGCATCCATGTGAGCGCCTCGATTAAGCGCCAAAACGATTGTTGATGAGTACAAACCACTTTGAGCCAAGACTATACTGCTCATGTTCGTATGATAGCGTTTGTTTACAACCAGGAAATTCCTATGAAATACGAAAATTATTAGTCTTCGTTCATCACTTCAAATTGGCATAAATTGCTCAAAACCAAAACTCACCACAATGGCATCAATTGCTTATCTTTGATTGCTTTTTCGGTGAGTGTCAACAGCAGCAAATTCGATAAATGAAACTGTGACGAATTGGACATCTGTAAATCGGCCGGAGTTTCATCTTTTTCATATGAAAAATCGCTACACAAAACGCCAACATTCAATTCTTTCTGCTTCTTTGAACTCGACGACTTTCCCGAATCAATTTTCTGTTCATCTGTGTTGTTGACGCTCTTAGCCACATAGTTGATGGTATGGTTTTTCGGATAAACGCTTTTCAGAATATAGACAATCTTCAGGGCCATTGAACAGAGATGCATGAGTGCACTATTTTGACCAAACATTGCCAACTTCAATGCGGTTTTAACTGCTGGAATCTTTGATATGTTATACGTAAGTAGAGCTTGAGTTGTCTTATTCTTCCGCAGTAAAACATCGCCAGCATATTCAATGCATTGATTGTAGTCCAAATTGAAAACTTTACAGAATTCTTCGCATGCTTTCCACTGGTCACTTTTCACCAAATTCAAAAAGACGATATGTGGCACATGGTTGAATTCAATCATATACAATGAACGATCGGTGACGACCAAGCATTGATCCATTTCGATTGCGGGAAAAACATGTTCCAGAACCGATTTGTCATCAATGTCGAAGAATTCATTCTCTTCGCTGTTACTCTCCTTACGCTGTTTGTCTTTGTTGAATGTTTCCGCGTAGTTTTGCGTTGTGACTTTCGGCTGTTGAATAATTGGGCGCTCGCCAATGTTGGTGGTTCCAATTGGAATTGGATTTTGATTATTCTCAGATGTGACCTCAATGAATGGAACGGACGTAGGTTGACTATACGGAACTCGATGAATATCAACGATTTGTTCGTCAGGAAATTTGAACATTCCCAACATGGAAGACGAGTTGAATTCCTGTGTTCGGAAGGAAAAATATTGGTTTAGTCTAGGTTTTGCCCATTGAAAAATTGAATAAAGACGAAAAATGAAGCATACCGAATCCTCTCCTATTCGCAAAACAGTCGAACTACATCCGATGATACCGATCGCATTTATGAGTGTTTCTTTAATCGGCGATGGAACTTCTTTGTTCTCATACTCCACACCCTCAGCATTTTCATTCACTTCACCTTGGCTTTTTCGCACTCTTTGTGTTGTGTACATAATATTCGGTGTGAGGAGAACATTTGTGCAGTCTTTCGGTATTTTATACAAGTACAATGGTATCAAACTGATATCCATACTGTGCACCGACAATGTGTCGGAATATGAATGCAAAGCGCTTAGCAAATGTGTGTCTCGTAAAAATTGTGCGATGAAATATGGTCCTGTTTTTGTGGTTAAAATTTCTGGAACAAAACTTGGCATGTGCATCGTTGCTAACTGCGTAGTATTTTGACGGCTGCGATCTGAAAACCAGAGAATATTTTTGAACAAATATGAATATTCTTGAATTCTACAAGCAAAAATGACATGCATCGTGCATTGAATCTCTGTTTCTCACCTCGTTCATTCGATTTGATTTTATTTTCAATCAATTTCAATTTTAAAGCGCCGATCTTTTTTGCTCCCAAATCTCTTAGCGAAGCCAACCTTGCTCTTGCTGCTGGAAATATTCCGCTAGTCGGAACCAAATCAGTCGAGCTCGATGTCTCTTGGTCACTACTCACGGGCACAAAACCATCTTTCATGATTTCAAATTCAGAAAGTTCCGTATCAGGCTTTTCATCGGTTGATTGATTCAATGACGGCACTGGAATTACAAATTGCCAGTCTTGTTCAGATGACCTTGACTTCATGACTGAGCTGTCGGTAGTCTGAACATTGTTCTGTGGCTGGCAATCTGGTGACAATTTCGGAATTTCATCGGGGAAAATGTAGCCAATTGAATTTTGCTCCAAAAGTAGTTTCCATTGCTCTTTTGATGTAGCCGTAATCTGAAAGCAAAAATGGATTGCTTAAGTAAATTCGGAGTAAAGGTAAAATAAATAAAGGCTAAGAAAAAACGCATCATGTGCCAAATTACCAATAACGATACGCTCTTAACGATTGTATCACGACAAATGGTCATTTGTGAAATGCCGCCACTTTTGCTTTCGATAGAAGTATTGGCGATGAATGGGCAATTTGGCGCTAGTCCAACAACGCATATAGAACCATCTGAATAGCCAATAACCGCTCGATGTTGATGCTTTTGTTCGTCAAGTCGCGATGTACTCCACCAAACAACCGATAACGGAAATGGACACAAATTCACTGTTGCTGATTCGAAATGTTCGGAATTGTCATCGTTAGCGGTAAAAAATTTCTCACAACCATCTGGACTCTTCTCTGCGATGCTAATGGCTTCACCACTGGATTGCATCGTATTCTCCGTATAACTTGATCCGCTGATTCGTTTCAAATCACTGGCTGGCATATAAAATGACTGGTACACATTGTTGGATAGAATCTCATTAATCTGTTCTGGTGAGTATTTGTCCTCCACGGCATCGCCGTCTAATTCGTTGCCTGCATCAGCGATTTTGTGTGTGGCCTTTGCGGTGCTCGTATTATTTGGACAAGTTTTGGAATTTGAGCATTCGTGTGGCCCCGAAAACGGTACAATGAACGAGGTAATCTCATCAGACCGAAAAGGCCAATAGAAATTCTCGATTTCTTGTGATGTTGTAGTTTTTAGGCCGAATTCGGGGTTTATTATCCAAAGTATAGGTACAATATGTAGTGTATTGTCGTAGCACACAACCAACAAATGACGTCCACTCGGATCAAAACAAATATCTTGAATGATTCGCTGTGTCTTTTGAAACCACACAATTAATTTCCAACTGGCCGCACTGCTAAAGCTATCAATTGAGTCTCTGGACGTTGGTTGAGCGTCTGCTGCAACAGCAGGTGGTGGTTCGTCATCGTCGCTGAACCGTTTGCTCAGCAGTTTGGTGATATTGTGATCGCCATAATAACGAAACCGTACCAAAATCTCATTTTCCTCACCAACCAAACACAATATTTGCACGCAATTCCGATGATTGTCAACAAAAGCGGATTTTTTCGTATGAAAATTCTGCAAAATTTGTCGCAAATGAAAAATATTCGCTTCACTCAGTGACATCTTTTCACACCACACAAATCCTTTTTTTTGCGAACCACAAAACTAGGCGTATTATCCCTTAATCGATTTCTACGTCTATTTCACACACATTTAGTCTCTTGACAATAATGTTCTATTTCCAAAATATAAATACACACGACATTGGCATCTAAACAAATGCACTGAGCACACAATGACCACGCTCAAATAAGGACACGTGAAAAATGAACAACAGAAAAAAATGGTTTTTGTATTTTATTTTCATATAGATGAAAAATGGTTGCACAAACTAAATTTTACGTTCTAAATCAAGTCTATGGTTTGACTCTGCGAACATTTGCTCTAATTTTTTTTGACTGCTCAACAAATAACTGCGGTGACATTGTAAATAAATCGTATGTGGAACAAACACTTTTTCACTCGATTTTATTGTTGTCGCAAAGAGAACTTTCTTTAGCAAAATCTATTTTTATCGCTATGTTTTTGCATCAAGATGTGATTTCTTACGAATAGAAAAAAAAAGAGTTTGCCATTTGTGTCCATGTGTGTGTAATATTGTTTGATAGTCGACAAAGAGGCTCGTAGACCTGTCATTTTCATTGAACTGTCAATGTCAGTGGTAGTATGGTTTCGTACTTGGTAGTCACATCGTGGGCTACCATGTTCAAGTGTCAATTTTTAGTTCGTGGCGCTTCGGTTTGAATTTTCAACGGACAATTTAATTGTGTGTTATTCTTTGTAAAACTGGTATTTTGGGAATATTTTTAGAGTTCAACTGGCATTTTATGTTTTTCTTAAACAAAAATGCGTTCGATCTGAAGGATTCAATGTAATTTTCGACCAAATTTGACTTTCAACTGTGACAATTTTCCCCTCAATTCTCCTTTTCATTTTGAAATGCTCGACTACGCGAGTACCAATGAACTACGCGATTCCCCTCTTCAATGAGAGAGCGAAAAAAAAACACTGAAAAATCAACACCAGACGGAGATCGTCTGACGGAAAATGTTAACCAATATTAAAACATTGCATGATATCAATTGATGAAGTTATTTTTTCTTTTTTTTATCGTTGATTGTATTGATTTGTTGGATTCAATAGAAAGAGGATTAAATAGAATAGAAACAGACTCAGTGTCTGGTACAGATAGAAGAATATATACGCGAATGTACTCAGGAGCCCACATGAAAATCACATTAGATAAAGATAAATTTTCAGTAGAAACTTTCTGAATTAGATTCGTTGATGTTCGACTAAGTTGCACCATTCGTTAGCCCACCAAACATGTCTCTCATGTAAAATATGTCTGTTTTGCGAGTTGAAAATGGTTTTTGAATATAGCTGTCGCATGGCATTGTACCGGAGATGAAGATTTTGATAATTTCCGGAAGAAGCCGTTCAGGATAAGCATCATCATCAATTTTACGTGCGTTGTACGATTTATCCATTTTATCGATTGCCGGCGAGCATTCGCCATACCAAGACGATTAAAATAAACTCTTTTTTTCAACACCTCTTCACAAAATATCCATTTCATACAGCTGCTGTTGGTGTGGCGGCAACAAAGTGCGTGGCTTCAATTCTGAAGCACCGAATAGGTAGTGTTTGAGTGAACATTATTGAATTTTGTCGCTGGTCCAAAATCGATAATTTAATGGACAAAATGAAACAGCAGCAGAGTAGACCGAAAAAAAAATCTTTGACACAAATCATAACCGCAAAGGAAGAAGAAGAAAAAAACAAACGATAAACATCTTAATGGCTGGTTTATAATGAGGTGATGGTTGCCTTATCGCACTTCTGTCTGTTCGTACAAAACAAATTGTAATGGCATGATTTTTTTTTTTGTTCCGCCGTGCATCATACGACACATCTTTCTCGCGTTCAGCATGTGCACAGATTGGAAAGAAAAAAAGAGACAGTTGAAACAAATCGTTCAATCGTTTTGAATTGTTTTGAAGGTGAAAACTTACGGAAAAACTCACACTTTGGTTCAGAAATCAAATAAGAAACGCAGGAAAAGTACTGCTATAAATTTTATGCTTTTTTTCGTCTCTGCCTCATTTTAATGTACATTTTCTTCGCAACGACCAGAGAAAATATGCGTGGCAAAAAAAATGAACAATAAAACTTTTCCCATTTTTGCCGAATTGTTCGTCATTTTTCAATCTCGTTCGCTCTCTGCGCCAGAACCGAAAATGGAACACGGACAATCTAGAGCATTTACTTTTGGGGTAATTAAATGAAACAAGGAAATGAGCAAAAGTGCCACTCTTGGAAATAAATTTAAATTTTCAACCGTATGGAAATGAGAACGTAGGGTCTGTTTTCACATTTCATAATAATTTTCATTAAACACAATTTAATTTGAATATTTTTTCAATGTTTCACTTGAATGCCTCAGCATAAAATGGGACTTTTTTTCTGCTGTAGGTGTTACTTTGATGCTGCTGCAGTGATAAAAGTCCAGGAATTGAATGATAATTTAATACACGCGTTTTAGTTCCATTCGAATTGGTTTACTCTCACACGATGAGATAAAAAAAAATTAATTTTCTATTTTTCAAATGAAAATGAAAATCAAAATTATGGAAAAAGACTTATTGAAATCGAAAATGATTGAAAAAATGAACTGAAAAAATTAATTGAAAAATTCGAAACCAAATCAATTGACAATTCCAAATTCGCGGTTCACTATATCGATTCAACTGTGCGAATTTACGACTATTCGTAACAAATATTTGCCTTTTTTTATTTTCCCCTCTCCAACAGCATTTTTGATGCTATCAAGAAAATAAAACGCATTAAAAATTTAATTTCATTCATTTTTATTCATATTGTAATCGCATTAATGAATTAAATTAATCAATAATTATTGATATTATTGTAATGAGCGTGTAAATGTGTTTTTTTTTCTTCTTTTGTTAAAAATAAATGAGTTTGACAAGACATGCAATACAATTGGTATTCACGATGGCATAGTGAAACATTTCAGACGATGCGTGCGGTCGCTGGTGTCAGGATATTGTCAAAATGAGTGAATATGAGTAAAAAAAAATGGCAAAGAAATTTTCTCCACATATATTCTTTACAAGTTTCATTGAAGAAGAGCTGAAGTTCCGTTCAGCATTGACGTTGTACCGGTTTGAATGCCACTTCATTAGCAACGCATTCACGGCGTTCATGATACATAGTTTCGGATTTTTTTCCTCTCTCGCTACCCGAATGTTTCAATAGACCTAATGTTTGGCAGACAGAAGCACGTGACACTTCTGCGCCTTCTACGGAAACCTAATCACATTCACTATCAACTATCACAATATCACCAAGTGTTCACGTGTGCGGCAAACTCAATGTAATTTGATATTTTCAAGAGGACGTTTTCTTTCTCTTTCAGTATTTTCGTTTGACGCTTCGCTGCCGCTTTTGATTATGTAATCGCATCAGTTGAGATTTGTAGTGCGAACAGAGCAGAGAATCAATGAAAACAACACATCAATTAATAAACATGTGTGGTCTATTTAGCTAATACGCATTGCATTGTTTAACTCTTTAAATATGATTTTACACTTTACTTTTGGTATTGTTGTGAAATGAAGTTTGAAATAAGGTTAAGGTATTTTGTAAATCGTTCACTTGAAGTGAACTAAATCGAAATTATGAAACTACACAAGATTTTAAATTTTATTCAAAAATTATTCCATGATAAGGGTGATTGGAATTCATAAATTGAAAATAGCATTTTTAATTGATGAAATATGATAATAGGATATCGGTGAGGAAAATTATGAATGTGGAAAAATCTCCCACACAATTCAAAGCATTTTCCATCAATGTTGAAATGCGATACAGTTGAGCCGATCGCATGGTCGCTCAACTTGAGCGATATTGATGGAAGTTGTTATTGTTTCTATGAGTAATATTTGTTGCAACACACCGGGTTCAACGGAGAACAGGTAAAAGTTGGAAAATCTGTTAAAAAATCGTGTAAATAACAGAGTTCTTGATTGAAGGACGCGAAGAAAAGAATTAAAACTGGAGAAGCGCAGAGTCAGTACCCTTATGATTGGTTCGTCAATGTTGCGCTTCAAGATAATCTTAATGTTGTGTTAGTTCAAATATGAAAAGTTAATAAAATCGCGACGCAGCACAAGCGAAGAGTTCGCAATGTAATGATAATAAGGAGGATGCGAGAGAGAGATACATTGATTGGACGCGATTCATATTGAGTAGATTGAGCATATTGCATAGAATCCCAAAGCCTATCGGCAATTCACGGGCTCCGGCATGTAGTGTTTGCGGAATGATTTTTCTTCTTCGTTCGATTCCCAATTCGTACGATCTTTATTAACATTTTCGTGAGAGAGTATAATTTTTTGGGCAATAATAATCTAACGGAGGGAAAAAAAATTACGAACCAAATTCTTCAGCCGGTTCAATTTGTTTCAATTTAAATGTGTCTTATCCTTGCCATTATTTGTGTAAGACTGTTGTAACGATTTTATCGAAACGAGCGAAGAAAGAAAAAAAAACTCGTTATTTTCTTTTCGGCAAGCAAATGCCTTCAACAACCGATCTCATATCTCTACTTAATGTGCATGAATGTGTCGTTCATCGGTCGATCATCATCATAAAATGAAACTTTTTTTCTTCAATACAAGCATTTAATTACAGGTTATCAACCAGAGAGAGTCGCCATTGAATGGAAAAAAATTACATCATGCACACACCGCTCTTTTTTTTCTTGCGCATTTAATTTCTATCGATCGAATGTTTCCAATTTTCACCTTGTTTAATCAATCAACAAGCGTTTCATCTTCTTCTGGGGTATTTTTTGGGATACATCCAATGGAATTCAATGGCTTTATTCCACTTCCTGGAATTCATTCTTCTTTTTTTTCCATCTCCTGCTTCTTCTTTTTCTTCGAGATTTACTATCGCAAAAGGTGCAAAACGATATTCTCGTGTGCAATGTGCACTTTTGGTGGATAAGTAGATTCAGAATAAGTTACTTATTACCGGTAAGAGAAAAAGAGGCAGACAGCATTGGAGCACCGTTTCAACTCCATCAATATATTGGCAATTTGTGATTTTTGTGGTCGGTTTTGCCAACTCTTCGATAAAAATGCATAATAATAATTTACGTGGATTTTTTTTTCGCTGTTGCTTGTGTACACCGCATTAAAATCATCCGGCATTCGGTTGTTGTTCCGAGCCGAGCCGAGCCGTATGTTCATAATTTCAAATTTGCTAACGATTTACTTGAGGCTGGAGGCGTGTGCAAAACATTATGGCCACAAAAGAGCAATATGAATGGAGAATTTAAACGAAGCAACACGAGCAACCGAAAGAAAAAGAAGAAATAAACACATACACACATCAACCAACTCATAATAATAATAACGATTTCGAGTATATGGGAAAAACAGGCTCGCAAATGAAAACCTGACTCAAAATGCTCGAACCAAAATGGGAAAATCGACCCGAAAATACCAAATCAACACAGAAGAAAAGAAAGAACGAAAAATATGCACGTTACGAATAATAATCAAAATCGTCGATAGGCTGTGAGTTTGTGCGATACACCGACAACGACATAGCTCAAAGTA